AAAAAAAAAAAAACAACAACAACAAAAATAGCCTGGGTGCTATTGCAGGCACTGGTAGTCCCAGCTACTTGGGAGGCTGAGGCAAAGAGAGTCACTTAAGCCCAAGAGTTTGAGGTTGCTGTGAGCTGTGAAGCCACAGCAGTCTACTGAGGGTGACAGAGTGAGACTCTGTCTCAAAAAAAATAAATAAATAAATAAATATATAAATAACATGAAAGATGTTACAGTGTTCTCTTTTGGTTAACTTATGCCCGTCTTCCACTCCGAAATCACTATACAAGTCCACATGCCACTGTTCAGTTTTTTCTGTTTCAACAAATCACTTAAATTTTCTTTTTATTTGACTATGTTCTTTATGAAAGAATATGAGTAAAGTACAATTTGCCAAAGTACAGTGTCACGTAAGTCAAGGAAGATTCATACTTTGTAAAATGAAAACTCTCATAGTGATAAAATTAGTAATATATTCTATTGTAATCATCCTAAGAAGTTTTAGACCTCTTAAAGTTTTTTGGAGGCATGTACAATACACTTATACTCTAATTATTTATGAACATTCCCATCTACTTTATTAAGTGCCTGTAAAGTTCTTAAAAGCAGTGTCTTTCTCACTTTTGTGCCCCTGCATCTTACACACAAAGCCCAAAATAAAAACTGGCTTACCACTGGTTCTGTGTTGACTATTTATAATTATGACCTTTAAAAGTTATAAAACTATCAACAAAATACACTTACCTGTATAGCCCATAAATTTTCCAGGGATTTCTTGATTACAGCAACGACTGCAGAAAATCTGCCCACATAGTCGGCAATGGTGTCTGCGCCTAAAGGTTGTAAATTTCTCACTGCAGTCATAGCACTCTTTACACTGGCTATCTGGCATCCAGTATTGTTTCAAGTCACTATCCTGTAACAATAAAAATGCGTAAAGGCTTCTTAAAAACAGTTTAAGATGCAATGGCAAATTAAATCCTAGAAGGTTTCTTTTGCAGCAAATGACAAGCTAATTTAAAAATTCATATAGGAATGCAAAAGGCCAAAATGACCAAAACAATCTTGACAAAGAACAAAAATGAAGGACCTACATTACCAGCCATCAACACTAAAGCTACACTCATTCTAGACAGAGTATTGGCACAAGGATAGAAAAAAAACAGCTATAGAACAGCAAAGAAAGTCCTGATATACCCCACATACATGGACTAATGATGACATCTGTAATGCAATCAGTGAAAGATGGCCTTCTCAAGAACCATGGTGCTAGGTCCAACTGGACATTCATGAAGAATGTCAAGTGCAATGGCTGATACCTATAATCCTAACACTCTGGGAGACCAAGGCAGGAAGATCACTGGAGGTCTGGAGTCCAGACAACCCTGACTGGGTGGCGCCTCTGGCTCAAAGGAGTAAGGCACCAACCCCATATACCAGAGGTGGCAGGTTCAAACCCAGCCCTGGCCAAAAACTGAAAAAAAAAAAAAAAAAAAAAAAAACTCTCCAAAAGACAACCCTGACCAACAGTGAGACCTTGTCTCAACCAAATATTGAAAAAGATTAGCCAGGTGTGGTGGGGTGCACCTACAGCCCCAGCTACCGAGGAGGCTGAGGCAGGAGGATCACTTGAGCTCAGGAGTTTGGGGACAGAGTGAGCTATGATCACATCATTGCACTCTACCCAGGGTGACACAGCAAGACTCTATTTCAAAAGGAAAATAAAATAGCCAAGGGTAGGGGCTCACACCTGTAATCCTACTACTCTGGGAGGTCTGAGCTTAGGAATTTGAGACTAGCCTGAGCAAAGTGAAACCTCATCTCTACTAAAAACAGAAAAATTAACCAGGCATTGTGGCAGGTGCCTGTAGTCCCAGCTATGCAGAAGGATTGCTTAAGAGCAAGAGTTTGAGGTTGCTGTGAGCTATGACACTGTGAGCAACCTTCATGAGCAAGTAAGAGCTACTATAGCACTCTACCCAGGGAGAAAGAGTAAAACTCCATCTCAAAAAAATTAAATTAAAAGCCTCTTAAAGAAACTGTAGGAAACTATCTACTCATGCTGGCCTAGATAAACATTTCTTGTTTTTCTTTTTTTTTTTTTTTTGAGACAGAGCCCTCAAGCTGTCCCCCTGGGTAGAGTACCGTGGCATCACAGCTCACAGCAACCTCCAACTCTTGGGCTCAAGCAAGTCTCCTGCCTCAGCCTCCCAAGTAGCTGGGACCACAGGCACTCACCACAACGCCTGGCTATTTTTTTTTTTTGGTTGCAGCCGTCATTGTTGTTTGGCGGGCCCAGGCTGGATTCGAACCCGCCACCTTAGGTGTATGTGGCTGGCGCCTTAGCCACTTGAGCCACAGGAACCAAGCTGATAAACATTTCTTAAACAGAACATGAAAGGCACTAAACATAAAGGGGGAAAAACTGATGAATTAAACTACATTAAAATTAAGAACTTATGTGTACAGTGTTCAGGAGCTGGAGGAAATACTAATTAAACTTTTTTTCAAATGGCATTATACCATTTTCAGTGGGTATGGCATGATCCCCGTAAGTGCTTAATAAGGAACCTGTCAAATCCTCTAGACAGTACCTGACTTTTCCCCTCCATGATTTCCTTGAGTCGTTTTAACACTGTGCTGAGGCTTCGAAGCTGAACAGCTGTACGCGGGTCATGACCTCCAAAAGTAGGTTCTGCTTTCCTTCTTGTGTCTGAGTCAGATTTAAAAAAAAAAAGCATCATTGTTAATACTCCCTGGTATTTATCCATATACATTAAGGTATATGTGACGTAAACTGCCTCATGTTACTACATACTTACGTTCTCCCAGCCAGTGATATGGATTGAGAATTAAAACTAGTCATAAAAAGTAACAGGCAATTATCTTGTAAAAACAGTTTAATAAGCAAGTAAGAGCCACTTAAGACAAGCAATCTGAGACTGTTGATGGTTTTGAGGGTTGGGATGAGAACACCACTTAAATGGCCCAGAATTCATTAATGACTTATTGTACCCTTTAGTCTCAATCTATAATAAATACCTGCCTGAAATTTAGCAGAAGAAAAGGCAATCCCAGAGGGTTAACCTCACTCGGTCTTAAAAGTCAAACAAGAAAGCAACAGGACCAAACAGGTCAGGTCTGTCTGAAGACCATATATCCAAAAGTCTCATGCAGCAGATCAGAAAGAAATTTAATAGCCCAGCCTCCAAGATTCTGACAGACTTCACAACATCCCACATGGTAAAATCTGCCATAGTAAAATACGACCCATGCCCACACAGATTAAAACTTACGGAAAATTGCAATTTTACCCTTCCCTGTCACTTCCCCAACCTTGCAGCTCCAAACTGAAAGAGATCAATTACACTTCAAATAACACTACTACCAACAAGAAAAGGCCAAATCCCAGCTTTGTGCCCAGACTGTGGTATGCCTGCCAAAGCTGCTACTTATGTCCTTATTTTAGACCAAAATTATAAATGAAATTTCTATCTGTCCCTGCCTCCAGCAGTTATAAAACCCAAGGATAAAGTATAGGTGGTTTTACAAAAGGGATGAAAATCCTATTAGCTTAAACCCAGTAATCTAATGATGTATGGCAAAGTAAGGTGGAAAATAGACCAGCTTGATTCTTCCTCAAACTCACTATTTGCTAGATTTGTTGTAAGTGGTCTTTATGTTGGCTGGGTTGGAAAGTAAAGATTACAAAGAAAACAGATGTTGTTATCTCAAACTAAATGTATAAAGAATTTCCCAAGCTAATTTAATTACTGAAATAATTATCTAAACTGCATGTCAATGAAAAAGAACTCAAAATATAAAATAGGCTCAGCGCCTATAGCATAGTCGTTATGGCACCAGCCACATACACCGAGGGTGGCGGGTTCAAGTCCAGCCCAGGCCTGCTAAAACAATGACAACTACAACAAAAAATAGCCAGGTGTTGTGGCGGGCGCCTGCAGTCCCAGCTACATGGGAGGCTGAGGCAAGAGAACCGCTAAAGCCCAAGAGTTTGAGGTTGCTGTGAGCTGTGACACCACATCACTCTACCAAGGGCAACATAGTGAGACTCTGTCTCAAAAAAAATAAAAAACTATAAAATAATTTTAAATGGTTTATTATAAGCCAAATACATGCAACCATGGCCTTGAGAGCCACAACCAAGAAGGCTTGAGCAAGTAGTCTTCCCATGGCTGAGTTACAGTTTGGTTTTAAACGTCTCAGGGAGAAAGGAATTACACGTAAAGTCATAAATCAATACACAGAAGACATATATTGATTTGGCCCAAAAAGACAAGACATCTCAAAGTGAGGAATTACAGGTTATAGATGGTTTGGTTTGGTTTGGTTTCTAAGGTATCGCCCCAGGTAGAGTGCCGTGTCGTCACAGCTCACAGCAACCTCATACTCTTGGGCTTAAGCAATTTTCTTGCCTCAGCCTCCCAAATAGCTGGGACTACAGGCAC